CTGAATATTACTGATTAGTTGGAGTGCATTTTTGTTCCCCTACCCTGCGTATGGGTATTCAGTTACCAAGCTAAGCAACTGTTAAGTGTATTGTTATAATGATCAATTGTGCCTCTTTCAAAATTGTGAATGCTATATAGCATCTGGCTTAAAACATGAATCAAATTCAATACACTGTAACTGGAAAGTTGTTGCATAATGCTCAGGTGACCTATAAGGCCCGTGGGCCTCTTGTTTCAATTTGAATTTATATCACAACTCGCTTTAGCATAAAAAGACCCCTATTTATTTCTAGGTCAAGAGGTCAAAGTAAAAAAAAAATTGTTAGCATGTAAACCTCTCATTTCCGAGAGATATCTCAGAAAGCATTTAGGTAAGCTTTTTTTTTATCATAACTCCCTTTCGAATCGCCCGCCCTCTTTAAGTGTCCCATCCCCTATAGCTACCCCCATCACACTCTGACACCCCCCTCCCCATCCCACCCCTCTTAATCTACACAAAATCTTATCTCCTTAACCAGGGGACACATATTCTTGAATTAGTTTGTTAATGATGTATTTATATTGGGTATTCGGAATACTGACATTGTAATGTTGTATCCTGACTTCTATCCCGTATATTAAATGTATTTTATTGAAACTGGTATTACATTTTCCCTTTAGCTTGATGCATAATGTGAAAATGCTTATAAAGTACGGTTTTCAAGGGGGGGTATAAAAAGGGAGGCAATTAAGAAAATTAAACGAATATAAACTCCATTTTCTTGTACGTAAAGAATTGTGCTTCAAGCGTGTAAAGACTCTTTTGTTGTTATAGTAAAATAATTCCTTGCTCCTAAATTTACATTTTTTAAAACCATATTTAACCGTCCGAACTGTTCAAGTGACAGTCAAAATGTGTTTTCCAGAGACTTTTTTTTTAGAGAAGTTGATGGAAAATTCTAATTTACTTTTCAATATCATTCTTTAAAAAAATGCGATTTTAGAGATGTTGATGGCAAAATATTTCAACTCAAATATGTCTGGAACTACCAAAGTTCAATCAATAACAATCTGTTGTAAAATCTGCTGGACCTGTTCAAATAATCTGCTTTTGTGCTTTTGATAAATTGTAATTTTTTTTTTTGGGGGGGGGGGTCAGAAAATTATTTTCATCATTAATAAAATACTGCTATACAGATCTTATATTAATTGTACTGCTTTTAGGTTAAATCACTATGTATCTAAGTCCAGAGAAATGATAAACTGTTAACTTTAAATTTGATTCTCAGAAAAATTTGCATTTCCATGCAACTCCCCCAATCATCACAAGTATATTTTTGATTGGTTAACAAAACATTTTTTAACTTGTTTATCCTGTTTAAAAACTACATAATATGACTGCATTTACTATGGGTTAGGGGAAGAACTTTGATCCAGAGGGATGAGGGGGCAATTTTTTCAAGTTGGTTTATTTTCATGGCAGGACATATTATTTATTTCCAAGATGATCTTTAGGGAAAATTATTAATATAAGGATATGGAAATAACGAACAGTATTCAATCTCAACGTCCATTAAACAAATATACAATAAACAAACTTTCTTTCTAACAGATAAAAAGTCTGAAGAGCAAAGAACTCCTTTTCATTATGGTAGGGGTGGGTGGGGGAAGGGGTTATATCGGTAACTATTTTTTAACCATAAAATGTATTATACATGTATACTGTGGGTTTCAAAAATTATTACCGGTACTGAAATAATGACCCGTGGATGGGAATTGTAGCTATTACTCAAAACAGATTATTTTTTTTTTCTTTTAGCCAATTGCAAGGACATATTATTCAATTTTAAAAGATTAATTGTCTCTTTTAATCACATTCACATTTAAAAAATATTCATTGCTGTCCTGCATTACATCACTCTGACTGATCGTGAGACACAATAATTCTTTATAAAAAAAAAAAAAAAACAAACAAATTCATAATACTAGTAATTCTGATATTTCAAGTTTATCTTGAATCCCGTTTTGAAACCCCTTAGACCAAAGTCCTTGAGGCTTATCATTATGTACAGAGCTGATTTCCTGTGCTATGTACAGTGTAGTCTTGTACATTTCACCATTTCTCACATGAGCAAAATTATTCTTTTTGAAATAAACAGAGGTTAAAATTTGTAAGCACATGAAATAAACAGGAAAGAAAGTTGATTTTACTTGATTTCCAGGATATACAGAGCTGCGTGTGTATGCTGACAATAAGTAAACAACTTCCAGTCATTTTTGTGCAATGACTTTTTTAAATCTTTTTCACTGAAGAGCTCCACAATTATCAAAGGGAGATAATTCAATTTCAAAGTTAATGTCTGCTATTTTAATCAAATATTTCTCATATTTATAGAGAGAAAACCAACAAGGTTTTAACATGCCTTTTAAAATTAGATGTTAAATTTCTTATTTTTGTTAGTAACATGAATTGAAGTAGCCGCATTTCATTAAAAAACTTTCCCAAATATTGCATTTTTTCAGAAAAAATCAACTTTAGACACCGTTTCCATGGTAACTACCCAACATTCATATGATCCAACTATATTTTTTGAAGTAGTTTATGACGTGGTACTTTCCAGCCAAATTTGAAAAAAATCTGTGACTATGCGTGCCACAAAAGTTTAAGTGGTTACAGAGAATGGGTATTAAGTTCCAGAACAAACTCCGTGATAAATAAGAGAGGCAACTGGTGACCCTCCTCATCCTCCTGTAAGGGTAGATAACTCGCAAATTACACATTTGAATTCAGTAAATTTTTGCCTTTAGAGTTTTCAATCAACATCAGATGTATTCATAAATATTCTTAGAAGTTTTATAAATTTTAAATGATTTTTTTATGAAAATACATGTAGTTGTAACAATGAGCATTTGAAAACGAAATCTTCTTACAAGTATTAAAAGTAAATTGTCAAAGTCAAACTTTAACAAAAGTCACAAACATGGACTTAAAACAAAATTAACATAAATTTTTATTAAGAAAAAATTAAATTCAAAATAACTTGACAATATTGAAATTTGAAATGCCAAAACCAAAAAGAGAGAGAAAAAAACTGTATGTATAGTAATGTAAGGTGAATCACAGTAGAAATACAAGTACTTAAGAGAAGTGTGAAGGATTGTAAATAAAATAGTAGCATTCACTTTCCAAAAAAAATTATTTGTTGAAAAAAGAATCTTTTTTATATACTCAGTATTTAAATATATAAATGTTTACTGTATTAATAATATATTTTTTTGCCTGGGCCTTTAGGTGGAAATGAATTATATGTAAGGTTTTTTTAACTTAAAGTGTAAGACAAATATATTTTAACGGACAAACAGATGATAGCTATTTTCAACAGTTTTTTTATTGATTAGCTTATCAAACTACACTAAATAGTAGCACACCATGTTGTTAATATGTAAAGACATGTCATAAGTTGAAATTGAAGACATTTTAACATTAAAAACAGCCTGCAAGTAAAACCTGTAACCTAAAATAAAAGTAAACTGGTATCCCTTCACTTGTCTATAATCTACATGTAACTCTAATAAAATCTAATTCTCATAAAAGCAGGGAGGTATGTGTGCTTAAAGCATAAAGCAGAGGATAACTATATATAGATTTATCAGGAAAAGGGTGATAACAACGTCAAAACAACAAAATAAGGGAGATAACTCTTCTACCTGCTCTTCGTGTTTTCCCTTTTCAGCTTTCTCTTTTTCTTGTCGCGCTTTTTCGGCTTTAATCTCATCTCTCTGTAAGGTTATACGCCAGCAACATTAAATCAGGGATAAACAGATCAAAAACTGATAATATCTGCCTAGGCTTGATTTTTGGTTCAGAATCTGAAACTGTATATCTATATGAAAATTTTCTTACATTGGACATAAAGACATTCTATGAATTCACACAGCTTTAGAGGGGTGCTACAAAAACTTAATAAGGTGGTTACTTTATACTATTATCAGATAATACTTTTTAAATTAATTATCATTTTTTAAAGAAAGAATCATGAAAGCATTGTGAAGCTTTGAAAGTTATTGAATATAATAAATTAATTAAAAGTTTGATTGTAGTACATTATCATTTGATAAGCTAATAGAATTTCAAAGCAAATTCAAAAGATCCTCTCCTTCCCAATAATGCTGCCTGTTAAAAGTTAATTAACCAGTGATATTTATCATACATTTATTTCATACCTATTCCTTGGACCAGTACACCAACTTTAGAGGTTGGACCAGGTGACAACATAGAGACCAGTGGAAAAACAAGCAAGAAATTAAGTTGCTTGATATTTAATTACAATTAACCTTTATTATATATATCAATATTAACAAAGGTTATGGAGAACACTGCTTGAAATTATATATATGCATTGCTCAATTTTATTTTTAAAAAAGACAATTTGTTCATACATTTAAAAAAAATTAATTACACAGGAAATAATTTAAATAATAGGTAATTGAAAAATTGAAGACAAACAAAAATATTACATATTTAACAAACATTATTAGAAAAAAAAAGAAAATGATAAAAATTTCAAATTAGAAATCTCTCTCTCCTATTTTCTCTCTCTCTCTCTCTCAAAAATTGCAATGCTAAATATAGGTTTATGTGTTGTAACCACTTTTAATTTGTTATGCTTACTCATATTGTTTCCTGTGTTATAAATAATGTCATTGAGCAAACTTTTCTACTGTCTTTTAACTTGTTTCATTGGTTCTTTTAAAATGTGGGAGGAGTTGTCAAAGATGTTTATGTCCCTGGCATACTCTCAAATTCACTACTTTCCTTATATTTTTCATTGTGAATTAAAATTTTATTTAACATTAAGAATGTCATTTCAAAAATATATAATTTCACACTGAGGAAATTCCATGCCACTTTGAATATTTCAACTTAATGTTAAAAAAGGCAGCCGCACGAGATTTACATGCATATTTAAAAAAAAATTAATTACACGTCAGACAGAGAATGACAAAAGTGCGCAAAAATATTACATATTTAACAAACCTAATTAGAAAAAGAAAATTATAAAAATTTCAAATTAGAAATGGAATGTATTATTTTATTAACATTTAATACCACTTTCAAAAATTGCAATGCTAAATATAGATGTGTAGTAACCACTTTTAAACTGTTATTTACAAATCACTCATTGAGTAATTGTGCCCACTCTATACAGCGTTGCTTCCTGAATCTTGTGATATGGATCTTGTTGTAACGAATGTTGATAAGATTCTAGGGCTCCCGGGAAGTCCCCACAGATTTGTTGACAGATTCCCAGGATTTGCCACGAAATGTCTCTTAGGTGATATGGTACATAAACCCCATCATCATAGAGTAGTAGAGTGTGTAGATCCTGTAGAGATTGTTGTGACCTGATTTTGTCACCCAATCTGTGGTGATTCAGTATAAACAACATGTGTAACATCACTAGAGGTGGAATGGACAATACACTTCTGCCATTCTCGTCACTGATCTTCTGCTCCAGAATTATTTCATCAATGTATGTGTACTCACTAATTAACACAATATCTACAACTAAAGCGATTCTCATTTTATGATTCAGAGACATCCCCACTGTGCAGCGTGTGTACATATCTACATTTACATGATTACAATATATGATGCATGGATTTGTCATTCTGTCCTGAGCTTTTTGCAAACAACTAAGTGACTGTTCAAATCTACATGTTTTGTAATAATACATTGCAAGATATAAAATATCTGAGACACAACCTAATGTACATGACAGTTTTAACAATCGGAATACGTAATTAGCTGTGTAATAAACCTTATTACGATTTTTATGTTGATATACATTACACAGTTTCAGCATGGCGGTGTTACGTAATATGCCTGATGTCATAATTTGTACTGTAGCCTCCTGGTATGGGGTCAACCTTTTTCTTATCTCTATTTCAATGTTCTTCATGAGAGCTGCAAATTCTACAACACTTAAAACTTCTTGTTTATATACACGGAATTCCTCAAATAAACTACTGTCAAGTTCAGTGTTAGTAATGATACTGCTCTCGTCAGTACAGACTCTCAATGTTCTGTTTAGAATGGCTTGACTGAGGAAAGGTCTTAACGTTTCACTCAGTAGTAGACTTGATATACCCTTACAATACAATTCATACAACTTATTAAACAATGATGTTTGTATGGATCCAGTTAATTTAAATTGGAACATATTGTTTTGTGGAATAAAAAAGTTCGGGCATTCTCCAGTAAATACCCAATATATTAATAATTTAAAGCATTCCCATAAACAAGGCAAAATGTTTTCAGGTGTCCAAGTCAAGGAGCTGTTATATTGAATTACCCAAAATACAGCAGTTTTTGTGAAGTATGAACATAGAATGGGTGAATCTTCATTTGAATTAATCACTTCTTTTAAAAACATTTTTAAAAGACCATAACATAAAAACTGAGTGTGGTTCATTGAATAAACTAGTTTTTGTTCCGCCAAAGAGAATGAAATTCTCCATTCTAGTATACTTTCAACAGTGCTGCCTATAGGAACAAGATGGAATCCTCCTTTGAATATATCTGATAAAACAGTCTTAGACGGCCAACCTTGTTGATGACATCTTTGTATCCATGGAAAAGCTAATGAGGGCCAGTGATGGGAACTGAAACAGAATGCACAATCTGCTTCTAATATTCCATCCTGACAATATGTAGCACAAGGACCATGCGATTTAGAAGAAGGGGCGAAATTATAAGACTGTAGGAACTCTAAGTGATTATTGCGGAATAATTTACTAGATATATACACGTTATTATTGATCTATATACAGGAGGATCTAACTTTTTCATCATTTGATGGACTCATTAGCTTTAGTCTGGTAAATCCCGGTGGTAAATCATCACACTCTATCATGATAACGGTGTGTTGAGCGATACGATAAAGGCTGATCTGAGAGAGATCACATATCACTTGGTGGTCTGGAGGCCAAAACATCCTATCTGAATCTGAAGTTCTCAGTCTGAATCCCTCACGTTGACTCCCACTTCTCATTCTATCAAGTCCTTTCATAATGTTCACAGGTTTTCTCACCGCCTCCACAGTGTCCATCACTTCTCTCCTGATCCTCACTTCTGTAGGACTTCCTACTTCTCGACACAGTCCTACATACACAGCCTCTGATAGTCGAGGTATGTGATCCATTTAGATGTATATTCTGTAATTATAAGACACAAGTAAGTAAAAAGACGTTTCCATGATCATTGTATTGTCGTATTTCTCTTTCATGTATGTACTTTCATTTTATTAGTAACAAATCGGTTTCTATAGTTACGTCTTAAATTCTACTAACATCTTTGATTTTTCAAATTTTCTTAATTGTTGTTTTAAATTTGTATTTCTAAGCTTTTCAAATAGGCGGTACCAAAATTTCCAAAATATAAATGGTACAGGTACAGAGCTGTCAAAAATAACACCCCTCCTCCATTTTCCTAGTTTCGAATTGATTTTTCACAATCAAATCAAGTGCCCGCTATTGTTCCTGACTTAAAGCTGAAGACGATTGGTAAAAGAAATGTATCCGCCATTTTAGTTCCCGAGACTCGCTACCCTGCAGACCCATATAAATAGGCCAAGAATTAGAGACTGTTCAGTTTAAAGCTGACATGAATTCTTAAAAACGCAACATTTTCATCAATGTACGACTTGTTTCATACCAACGATAGCCGTATTCTGCCATATTTCTCTCAGATACCTGCAGTTGGTTTGCATCGCAAAATTCATTTGCCAATTATAACTGATATTTGTAGTACTAATCTCAAATCTAGTAATTTGATGTACGGCAATTATTTACTTCAAATCTTAAAAGCAATTAACCAGAATAATGTTTTTTATGTATTCATAGTTCTATACGTTCTTTAACACACAAACACACGAAGAAATGCCATCCCCTGTTCAGATTGACATTTAGGCATTTGATTTTTAAGGCGGGGAGGGGGGGGTGAAAAATAATTGACATGACCGTTACATAAATATTCTTGGAAGACGGACATCTCTGCCAAATTTAATTTTGAAAATTTTATTTTAAATGCGTCACTCCGACCACAATGTATGTGCATTTTGAGGTATGTATAAATGTTTTATAATTATGGTGTTATAGAGAGGCTTTTGAGATTTCAGTATCCCTGCCTGATAGTCTAGCTACTTTTTTTATATTTAGAAATAATTTCTGTAGGAGTATTTAGGAGATAATTCTAAAAGCTAAGGTAGGGAGTCTTGACACTGGTTGAATACGGATAATTTTTATTTACTATTTGTACATTGAACTAACTCTCTCTTTTTCTCTCTCTCTCCCCTCCTCAGGACAGATCAAGGTTTTTTTTTCAGGCGGGATTTCGAAACTTCATAAATTGAAAAATAATTTTAATTTGAACGAGAAGTTAATCCGAACGGCCAAATTGAAAGAGAAACTAGAGGTATTGTGAGAAATGAGCTCACTAAATGATACCCTCGCCGCCCATATGGTTTTAATGGCAATGTACATATTTTCGGAAGGAAATTGTAAGTGGGGGGGGGCTAAGTACAAAGATTTTTTTTATACATTCAAAAAATCTGACAAGCTTTAAAAAGGGGGAAAATGTCCTTTTCCTAAACACAAATATCCTATTTCGTGTGGGGGAAATGGGGTTGGGTAGGTTTGAACTTCAGTAACAAAATTTTTCTCCAAACTGAACCTGGACAACAAACAATCAAAAAGCTATAGGTAGAATGTGGAATTCTCACGCGGGGGGGGGGGGGGGGTCTCTCTCTTTTTATCTGCTTTTTTCTAGAAATTATTAATTATTTATGTCTAGAAATTTAATTCACATTAAATTCTATTTTCATTATCATTGTACCACAGAATCAAACTCGTTTAGTATACCCCTTGCAACAAGTTGCGTGAGGTAAAATGTTTTGGACCCATCAGTCAGCCCATTTTTTTTGGTCAGCGCAACTTCTTTTAAACTAATAAACAGAGTTTTGTTGAACTATGCTGATATTCAGAGGAATCAATGTGTCTGTATTTGTACATCACCAGAAAATTCTGAAATCTTTATTTTTTCGGGAATGTCCGCACTTTTACATTTAGATTTTGGCCATATCTTGTATATAAAAATGAGCAGTTTGTCAGCACAATTCCTCATAAACCGGTGCATACAATTTCGTCAAACTTAGCAGATAATATAGGACACAATGTGTATAAATTTGCATTTTACAAGAAAATTACGATTCCTTTATTTTTTCTGTGAATTTCAGCACTTCGACTTATGTGGGAGCGTGGGGTATGTGAATTAGCTCACATTTTCTTTCATTGAGCATAGAATTATTAATAACTTTAAATCAAATTATATTAGGTCTTATAAAGCCAATATACAGTATTTATTTAAGGAATAACTGTCTTATTTTTCGAATTCATGAAGTGATCAATGGATTGGCTTGTGTGATAATTTGCATAAACGCCGAAGGCGTTTATGCATAAAATTATCACACAAGCCAATCCATTGATCATCTTCATGAATTTGAAAAATCTGACAGTTATTCCTTATATTTAAATGCTTTGATTCCGCCAATCCACGGGCTCCAAGCCTACTTCTCTCTAGGTGTTGTCCCGCCCTGCACGTGTTTTTTTTTGGAACCGCGCCAAAGGACATTCATGAGGAAATCAATTACATTTACATTTGGTTATTTTATCTCAGACAAAGACATTGGAAATGTAAATATTTGATCATAAAGAGATCCGATCTGTTTCAGACGTTTTTCTTTTAAAAAAATTTTATGAGAGTTTTATGCATGTTTTATTACCCCCCCCCCCCTTTCACAGGAAAATGTCTTCATATCTTCAAAAGGTGAATGATTCGTAATAATGCATACTTTAATATAAATTTGATGAAGTTAAACCATGTTTTCAAAAATTTTATTTACACCATTTACAGACAAGAGTAATGTTTATTCTTGAAAAAAAAAATTATTTGCCTTTTCTTCAGTCAACCCCACGGCGCTTTCAACCTTTGATATTTTCCCTGACCAAATAAATTGATCGGCATGGGCCACGTGTGTCCAAGCAGTTTTTTACCGTTGAGTTAGCAATGGATTACATGATTTATGAGATGCATTTTTCAATAAAAGTAAAATAGGATAATTCTTTCGACATGTGCACATCCCTGTAACGATAGCAGTATTCAGGTAAATATTTCTATCACTGAGTTTGACGCGTTTTCTCGACTGACTTGCATGGAATTTTTGCTCTACTTGAATATTTTCCGTGTAAGTGTATTTTCTATATTGCAGCAAATGCATTCAAAAATAATTTAATTCTCGGTATAGTTCTAGTTTTTCATGAATTTTTACTTTTCAAACATGTATATTGGTCAGTTTATGGACTTCTTAAAACTTTGCTATCGGAGATGTGCACATGTCGACAGCCAGGATAGAAAATCACTGAAGTGAAACAGTTCTAAAAGGCTATATATAGCAGGTACAGGTGGCCAAAAATGTTCGATTTAATATGGCGGAATCGAGGAAATATGGCGGACAAAGGCGTACAGGAATGTAGTAAGTCGTACAAAGATGAAAACTGATGCCTTTTTAAGAGTTCATGTCAGCTTTAATCAGTGGACATCGGTGTAGACGGACGTATGCTATACAGGGCTTGGTCACGGGAATAAGAACGTAATACTTCGTCTAATGCAGGAAAGTAAGATACCAAATAAATTTATAATTATAGGTACATAAGTCAATGCAGTAAACAAACAACATAGATAAACGTAACTGCAATAAAATATAAACAAATGTAATGCAAGATAACCAGCACGAACACGGGTCGCCATTCCACGCCGATACCTGTGACAATAAAGCAGTCAGGTGTAACGAAAGCGACGAGTACTATACACTAGTATTGATGTATCGTGGATAATGCTATCAAAAATGGCTTATGCCTATTTACGAGTCGTGTTCAGCTTTAATAAATTGGTCGAAATTATTGTAGAAATATCATAGTAACTCAAAGAAGATTCTACATAAAGTATATAAGCTTTACTTGCTGATTTCAATGTATTTTTTTCTAAAACTAAACAATATGAAAAATGTATCATTTTATGAGAGACTTTTAGTGTCATGCATTGTTAAAATTATATATAAACTATTTCATGTATTTGTCACACGTAATTTTCATTGAATATATTTTTGCATGTAAATTGTTATGACGGTATTGTCCTCTACAAAAATTTGAATTTTTCAAATAAACTTTAAAATAAACAATGACCAGTTCACATATATTAATATGTGAAAATATTGCTCTTTTGTATAAAACGGGTTCTTAATATCTTAATTACCATATATTTCAGTATGTACACGTTTTATAATATTTTCAAGTGTAGGTATAACTATTAAGTATGAACATTATGTCAATCAAATAAATTTAACTGTATAGAACTGTATTGTATACTAACGAGAATGTAAATGTCAAATACAGAACAATAAATTAAATTTAACTGTATAGAACATACATACGCTGAGTGTCACCGGCAGGGAGAATCCTCAACTGCAGGAAATCACCAAGGCCAGTCCCTACTTTCGGTTTGTAAAATAAATAGATAACCCCATTACTTGTAGTTTATTTTTAAATTTTAATGTATTCGATCAGTGCTTGCTATCAGTTCAAGATATATTACTGTATTCAGCGGCGACTCACACAAGTATGAACAAGTATTTATCTTATTATGTAAAGGACAAAATACGGTTTCAATACAGATTTCACCATGTATATCCCAACATGCGGGGTGTATGCTATGTTGTGCGCGACGTGTATGCTTCCGAAGCGAGAGAAAGGGGGTCAATGTAGGTTCTTTGTCCATTTTCTCAATTTACGGATATTTTTCGCCAGAAAGCATATACCTACGGAAGAAAGCATTATCTAAGGAGTATATAGATACCTATGAATCCACTGGACACCTTCTAGTTTCATCAAACACCTCAACACAATTCCGAGGATCGGAGCAAGATTGACACAACACTGTGTTTATGATCGAATATCAGGACAAAGCTTTGCTTTATCGTCACTTTTATATTGTTGCTAAATACATGTTTACAATATAAACGTTTGTACAAATTGTCTGTTAATAAAACAGTTCGTATCTAAGGATATTGACGAAAAATCAAATGTTGTGTCCGGGGTGTATGCAACATGTGTGCACGGGGTGTATACCCCTCTTTTTACTCTATAGATCATTGTCTGAAATGTCATAAAATATTCTTAACAACTGACTTTGTAAAACATCCCCCTTCCCCCCCCCTCCTTAAAAAAAACCCTTCGCTCCTTCAATAATTTCCAAGTGACTGAATTTCAAACAAGACAATTTGATGAGATATTTATTAATCACAACTTGTAAGATGTATAGAATGATTAACAGAAAGTCAATATAGCAATTAACATTCAATGCTTTGAATCAAAACATTAAGAAGATATGGTCATTATTCAACTTTGAATCCTTTAAATGTGAAATTCACAGCAATAATAAATGATTCATATATTAAACTGTTTTAAAAAAAAATAAATAGATGAACTGTACTTTAGAAAACAAAGAACAAAAGGCACACCCAAATCACAGTCAGATAATAAAATAAAATAAAAATAAATAATTTCTGAGAAAATACAGATGAAAGGCTGTCATCTAACAACTTGCACTTATTAGAAAAGACATCTTTTAAATCAACAAAAATACATATTTACATACAAAAGTATATCATGAATCAAATAGAAATAAAATCAAAAATGCACTCTAATACTTGTAAAATTATCACAGTTCTTATAACAAATAAATAAAGTCTTGAAGGACGGAATATTTGTGGAAACTGTATGTACAAATTTTTTCAACTTTCACACTCATTGTGCAATAAAAGCTAAGCACTCTTACAAACAAGAGTTCCATTTAAATGCTTTAGAGTTGTCTGCCCTTTAGTCATTCAGTTGACACAAGAGGGCAGCCCCTTTGGATATCCAGTAGTCTTGGGGCTGCTTAGAAGGCAAGTGAACAAACACCACAAAGTTAGTGGAATGTCCTACAAAAGAGTAACACAATTTTGTATTAAAATTCACCATATGAATGATGTAAAGTGACTTCAAATGTTTGTACACAGAGTTTGACTATATAGTTGTATAAACACAGCCCTGAGCTCTCGGGCCTAAGAATATTGACAAGTACTCTTACTTGTTAAACAATCCTTTAACTGTATGATGCTTTACCTGTTGTGGACAGGACTCCAGCCCTGGCTGATGTCTTATACAGTGGGGCGACGTAATCTGCCTCGTCAGGAACAAAGTCCATCTTAGGCTCCATGTGAAACACACACAGGGCCGAATTCTTTATGCCTTTAATGGAGTCTGTGACCACCATTTCCTTCTCATCCCAGCGGGACCCATCCATAAACATTCCATGGACCAGCACACCATCTTGAGGAGTGGGCAGCTGTAAGGAAAATAAAGATGTTGGGTAATAAGTAGGTTTTATTTAAACTTCAAATCTTCCTTGGATTGAATATTCTGAAGCCTGTTTAATAGAGCAATAGGTATAAGGACTTTTGGTGAGGAGTTGCGATTGCTTGCTGTGTTTAACAGGTCTCTGTTTTTTCTAAGGAACTAGAACTGCCCAAATGGGACAAAATACCCTTGCTGGGTTTTCAGAAGTAAGTTTTTCCGTAATATTATGTATCAAACACAAATTATGAAATTTTTATTCCAGTCACCTTGAACTTCCTAAAATAACCTTGGGTCAAAACACACCCTTAGGTCATGGGCAATCTTTGTTTGAAATGAGAACCTACCAAGTTAATCAATAACAAAGATATAGACTGGACACGAATTATGAAATTTTTCTTCAAGTGACCTTGAACTTCCCCAAATGACCTTGGGTCAAGGTCATGACACACCCTTGAGCAATCATGAGCAATCTTAATGTGGAGTAGTAGATTCTAATGTCACTCTGTAAAAAAGATATGGACCGGACACAATTGCACAGACAGACGGATGGACAGCTAGACAGACAGACGGACAAGGTGATTCCAATACCCCCCAAACTTCATTTGCGTGGGTATAACTATAAATTTTATTGAAAAATGACACTCCATTTCTTTAAAATTCTGAGTTTCAGTACGGTCAATTTCACTATGGTCAATACAATGCTCCTTACTTCTTTGTCCAGCTCGTTACTTTGACCCTTCATGCACCCTAGTCCTTTGCTGTTGCTGTCTTTGTTTTTCTAGTTGAGCTCTTCTCTGTAATAGCCTGGCATTTCTTTTCCGAAGCTTTAATTCTTGCTCTTTTTTTCTCATCAAGAATTTGATCTAATTCTCTCTCCCGTAGTTGTTGTCGTCGTCGTCGTTGTTGTGGTTTAAATTGAGCTTTCTTCTCTGTAATATTTCAGCATTTCTTTTCCTGAGCTCTAATTCTCGATCTTTATTATCATCAAGAAATTGTTCTAATTCTCTCTCCCGTAGTTGTCGTTGTTGTTGTTGTTGTTGTCGTTGTTGTTCTTGTAGAGCTCTTCTGTGTAATCTTTCCGCATTTCTTTTCCTTAGCTCTAATTCTCGATTTTTATTTTCATAAAGAATTCGATCTAATTCTCTCTCCCTTTTTTCCATTCTAATAATCGCTAAGCATGTAACTGTTTTTCTCTAGTAGAATCCATGAACCCAATGGGAGCTGGCTCTGACAGTAGAATGGGCTGAAAGTAGGAGAAAAACCGTATTTATACAGTGGATGACGTCACAAGGCATAGGTAAGTCTATGGTATGTTTTGCACACGACCCCCTTACAGATGATGCAACAGGTACATGTATAAAAAAGATAATGCAACAGGTATAAAAAGATGATGCAACAGGTATAAAAGATGATGCAACAGCTATAAAAAGATGATGCAACAGCTGTAAAAAGATGATGCAACAGCTATAAAAAGATGATGCAACAGGTATAAAAAAGATGATGCAACAGGTATAAAAAGAAGATGCAACGGGTATAAAAAGATGATGCAACAGGTCGTAGTAGCAGCGTATATAGTATAATGTAAACACAGTATAAACACACCCCCGTATTAAGGGGGCTATATGTACTGAATTGAACCACTTATCCCCCCCAGGACTGTACTGAGCTGACCCGGCTATCCCACAGACCCCCTAATCTGCACTCTCTTGACCCGGCTATCCCCCAGACACCCAATCTGCACTCCCTTGACCCACCTATCCCCCTCAGCCCCAAAAGTGCACTCAGTTGACCTCGCCGGTCAGGACACTTATACTACTAACGACCATCTTTGCTATCCAGGGGTTTCTCACACACTACTTTCCTTATAAACTGATAAGTAGAAACCATTGGCCAACGAAGATGACAACCACCCGGATTTGCGAACCTTACGGCTAGCTATTGAACTGTATCCGTCCGAAGACGTGAGAGCTTATTGTGCACAAAAGTATGCTGCTTCTCGGTTTCAAACTGTCATATTCTAAAAACATTTTTAACTTGGTGTTCCCAAAAAATTCCTATACAATTTCAACCTACTATTTCCACAACAAACAACTGTTGTAATTAACCCTCCATGAAATTGAGGCCTTCCAATTTCGCATTTTTACTGTCATTTTTAAGAGGACAAGAGACAAATCTTTTCAATTGCAACACGCATCGTGAAAAAGTCTAGAGATTATTACATTTTTTTTAGCTTTTGTGCAGTTGAGATAAGAATCTGGAGGAATTCATCCAGTACCAATCGCAGTTTTTGTGTGCCATTTTTAACAGATTTTTGTCTGGGGGTGCCACTCTAGCACTTCGATCGTCTATCTCATTTTTTCTCAGACCAGCGAGTTACAGAAATGCAGCTTCCCTTCGGCTACAAAAAGTTTTGGGGGGAAGCATGTCTACATAAAGAAATTTATAAACATGAATCAAAACTAAAGCAAAAGACTATTTTCAGAAAATAAAGTGCACCCCAACTTGCATATAATGTGCCCGAGATGTTACTGGATAAATGTAGACTACATGCAACACAATTATTAGGATGCTTACATCGTGCTTTGAATAAATTGCAAGGATATTACCATTATACATTCATTTACTGCTTCAAAACGTTTAATCGCTTAATCATCCCATTCGTATATGTATATCTGTTGCAGTTTTAAATTATTTAGTGGCATCATCTAGCTAATTAATACCATATATCACTCTATTTAAAAGTACAAAAAGAATATAACCAAAAACACAATATCCGTAAGAAGAATTGATGGAACATTTCGCATTGCTCCAAGAAATGGTCAGCAATGACTATAAACTACAAAAACTATCATTCTTTTCATGCAGGTTTGTAAAATTTAATAATATTCACGTTAATTAACATAAACCAACAGTCTCCGAGACGTAAACCAGTTGTCACATTTACAGAAATAAAAAGTCGCCTGTGTCAAAATTTTACAGAAACCAATTGTAGCACCTACAAAATGAATTTACTAGTTATTGACTTATTACAGGAAAATAATTCATTTAAAGGACATTGTTTGTAACCAGGGCATTAAATAAAGTTTAATCAAAGTTAAATTACCCACTTAGCTGTCCAATCAGTCCTGTAGCATTTTATGCATCATTCTAATGCGAGTACACGAAAAACACGATCTTAACAGTCGTTTACATGTAATGTTACGATATTGAGCACATTTTGGGTTTAAAAGCAATACAATCGCTTAACTTTTTTTTATATAATTTTGCTTTCTAGAAAGTGATTTTTATTGTTTCATATCAAAAAAATATGTATTTAGCTAGACAATTCGCAGGTGCAAATAGTAGCTTGTGT